TAATCTTTTGAGAAACACTCATCACCAAGGTAATTTTTACTAGTTCTAAATCAGTTTGTTTTTTTAATTCTTTTTCACATGAAGACGATAAAAAAATGTTCAAAATGCTAAAATTTTAATCAAATGAAAAGAATTGTCTCTTAAATATGACACTTGTGTTTGTTCATCCTTGAGGACAAGAATGTTTGAAGGGAACATTATTGTTACAATAATTCATTATCATAGTAAATTAATCATTTTTAATTTTAGTTAGTTGATATTTTTTCTATTTTTTTATTTCTATGCAATGATTTTATTATCTTAGTAAAGTCAATTACTATTTCTTTTATTTTTATGTAATGATTGATAGAGTCTTTTTTATCTAACCATCTATAAGTGAATGTAATAAATATATTGAATTCATAACAAGTATTTATTCTTTTTAATATTATCTTTTAATAATATACTTTCTCTATTGTATTCGATACTATTATAAATCATTAGAATCCTTACTCCTGAGACTTAGATTTTATCGGATTCGTTCTTAGAATCAGTTTTCCTGTCTCACCAAATACTCAATCAGTTTTCCTGTCTCACCAAATACTCTGGCTATTAAATATTTAGTGCAACTATAGACAATTCAAGTGCAACTAAGGAAAAAAAGGTCGTTTCATTAGGTTTATTTGAAGGGTTTATAAGGATGATATTTTTAACGTGTTCCACAAATGTGAAAGAAGTGAGTAAAAGAATATTTTTTTTATATGAAAATAATTTTTAGATAAAACCGAGGTGGATTCATGTACTTTCTCTAATTGATTTCTGAACCTCATCCTTTACCTTAACCTATAATAGATAGAGTCTTGTATTTATTTTGAGATTGATAGTTGTCGTAGTTTTTTGGTTCTCGCCTGCTGCTCTCTGATTTGTTGATGGCTGTTTATGACTCTACCTTACTTATATTAGATAAAGTTTTTGTCTTGATTATGAGGTTGATAGTAGTTGTAGTTTTTTTATTCTCTCTTGCTTGTCTCTAATTTGTTGATGGTGTTTTATGACAGTATGAGATCTAGTCCTAACACTATGGGTGAGGTTCCAACTTCTTGGGTGTTTTTTTTCCTTTGAGATCGGTGTTTAGTTGTTTTGATGCTTTATTTTTTTTATTTGTCTGTTGTACCTTTTTATTTTGGGAATTTCTTAATGCACCATTTATATTTCTTAGCCACCACACAAAAATACTTAAATACCCCTAGATTCTGGAGATGCATACCAAACGCACCAAATTCTGATTGAATGTTAAAATATTTCAGAGATGCATCTTCGTAACAATTTAAAAATATACTATGCATCACACTCAGAAATCATTATACATGAGTATTGTACCGGAGATGCATCTCCGTGAATTTTAAGGAGATACATCTCCGTAAAGTATCAGAAACAAAACTCTTCATGTTATGTTTTGTTTACGTGTATTTAAATGTAGATTTAAGCTATACAATTGAAATGAAAAAAAATACATACATAAATCTAGATGATCTGAAAATGCCATATATAAATAAAAGATCAATAAATATAAAAAAAACTCAAGAACAATGATAAAGTAACACGATGTCAAAATAAAATACAATCTACTCTCCTCTGCTTCCTCTACCTCTTCTACCTTCTCTACCTCCTCGACCATCAATCCCATTGTCATCTGGCGTTGTCTCTAATACATGAATGCCCCTCGTATCTCCGTCATGATGACATCTAGGATCTGCCTCACATCAGACCCATCGGGGAAGATACTTGTATCAATGCCTGCCTACACAATCTCCATTATGTGACGATATTTAGGCAAGACATCCTCAACATGATTTAATTGTGCATGCTTCTCCTATAATATTTCTTGATGAGTTGGCCTGAACGGATCTCTAGTGCAGCATGCACCATGTATGGATGTGACACTCTGAAGAACCATCTGATATACCATTCGACGTAGCTCCAGTCGCTTACAGCTATGATACTCTGTGCCTCTTCCGGTATCAGATGACTTGCATAGTCATCGAACATGTCATATATCTGTCTAAGTGTCAAAGCAGGAGGAGCAAAGACAACAAGGTGTTTGAGAATGGTCGGAGTGTAGCCGAATTGCTGCATGACGCGCCCGGGCAGATGATGAGCAGTGAGATGCGATCCGCAAGCCAGCCATCATGAGTATATCATTATCTCGTAAAATGGCTGCGTCTCACGGTGATCAACATAGCTGTTGAAGTGCATCTCCTCGGCAACCAAGTGGTCAAGATACACTCTAAAAGGCTCAGTCGTCTGGTTCCATATGAACAAGGAAAAAGCAGTAGCACGAGACATAACTTCAGAGTAAGTCGGTGCACTCGCCTAACAAGAGATGTGCGGGAAGTGTTGAAGGATCCAAGCTTGAAATAAAAATTTTGGAACATACAAATTATCAGTAATGGCTTTGCAAAAATGAAATTAAAATAATAAAGAAACATTAAAAGACCAATAATTATTACCATCACTAGTGTAATGCTGTCCGTGAATTGCTTCGTCTTCCATATACAATCCTCTCTCAATTTCGAGTACAAGTAGATCAAACAAGTGACCCTCAATTGCACTCATGGATCCGATCGAAATCCTCGAAGTACTGTGGTAGACGACATCTGTATAAATGACACTCTTGTCCACAAAAATCGTAATGCCAACCGAATATAACAGGTATGCTCTCATAGCATGCGATTTGTGGAGTGCCACATGCTCATCATCACCTGTAGCCTATTGTGCTCTCAGGATCTCAGTCGTATATATCTTTTTTAGGTATTCAAATCTAGCATGAGCATCCCTAGATTATCCAACTCCTCTTTCGCCTCCTCTAGATCAGCCCGCAAATAATCTACCATCATCTCGAGTGCCTCGTCTTTAGTAATCCTCTCATGATCTAGAGGTCTCCCTCTGATCGGAAGATGTAACAAACACGAGACATCGTCGAGTGTGATAGACCTCTCACTAAGCGAGAGATGAAATGACGAGGTCTTCGAGTGCCATCTCTCGACGAATGCATTAAACATCCTGTGGTTGACCGTAGTATAACCGGCCGTGCACAAGTCCTTCAGGCCAGATAAGGACAAAATTTCCTGAAACCAATCCCTATTCAGATGAGGCAAGCCAATAATCTTCTTCCCGTGGTTAATAAACTTCTACGAATCACGCTCCTGAAAAAATAAAAATTAATGTCAGAAATTGGTCAATTAAAATTAAGTAAATAAAAAGAATGTATCCAACTAATGATACCTCTCAGTCCCAGATATGTGTGACAATATGGTATGGGTACAGAGGCAGTAATGACAAATATACAGGGTCTCCTCCAAATGCCTCTGCCTCAACATCTACAACAGCCTCACCCTCTGGAGGTGACATTGGATCAACAATATCAGCAGTAGGAGGTGGCACGGACTCAAAAGCATCTACAATAGGAGGTGGCACAAACTCAAAAGCATCTACAATAGGAGGTGACAGTAGTGAATCAGATTCCTCAGGTGCTTGAATAGGGGAAACCTAGCGCCCGTGAGAGGATGGAGGGAGTGATGCATCAGTGGGTGAATTTCGTCTCCTACGGGAAGAAGAAGATGAAGTAGCGTGAGGAAAAACACGAGCTTTAGAAGTGGATGACTCTACATGGCCAGAGAGACTAGGAGCCTCTGAAACCTGCTGACTCTTCTCCTGCCGCACTGATACATGTTGTGTAACCCTCTTATGCCTCAGTCTATCGTGTCTATCAACCATTATGCATGTAAGTTAAAGTAAAGCAGACAATTAGTACATGCAAACAACACCATAAGCAAGGAAAAAAATCTGAGAAAATTTTCGAGATGCATCTTTGGAATCTAGGAAAGTAAAACGTTGAAAAATTTCAGAGATACATCTCCATAATTTTCTGAACCTCAGCAGCTGCGTCAATGTACCCCATGCAATAAAAAAAATGCTTTAATCATCATTTTCAACTAACAAACGTGTAATACACTATGTCTAAACTGTCATACATGTAATTTCTACTCATTTCTAACCTTAATAAACAATTTCTACTCATTTACACAAAAACTTAAAAACTTATTAAAAACTCAAAAAACTTACAAATTTCAACTTTTCTTCAGGGTTGGATGATGTTTCTAATGTTGATTGAAGTTCCCTGGAGTTTTGTTGATTGATTTTTGTGTTGATGATGAGAATTTTTTTATAGAGTTTGAATATGATTTTGAATAAAATGAAAAATAAGGAAGGAGAAAAATCTCACGCAATTTAACCTCCAAAATATTTTAACACCTTTGATGCGTCCGAAAATGCATCTTTAAAATTTAAAAGCATTGTATATTTTTATATGGTGGATAAGAACATAAAAGGTGTCTTAAAACACTCGCTTTGTTTTTTTAATTGTTGTGGTCCATTTAACACTTCTTGTCCTAAAAGATACCTACTCTTTTGTAGTTAGGTGATTTTCACCTCTTTATTAATATATATATTTTTAATTATTGAATCAAACTGAAAATGGGAAAGGGCATACTTTAAAAAAAAAACCGCTTACCATGGAAACATAAAATATATACATGTCAAAATTTGCATAAAATGATAAAGAATCTACAGGCAAAGAAACAGTAAAATATCAGTACAAGTTCACATTTAAAACCTCTCTCAAAAACTTGAAGCTGGCCATGGAACACTTGTTCCTGCTGGCACAAACCATATTATCCATCCTCAGTTTTTTATTGACACCCATTGTTGTTGGAGGATCAGATACATCTTCTACAAAATGCAAATCTTCAAGCCTACGTGATACATAGGATGCAATAACACTTCAATACACGAAAGTACGAGCGAATGCACCAAACCTACAAAACTATATGATGCGTAACCTTTCACTCATCTAAGAAACTCATGATTCATGCATTCAAGTTGTTGTTGTTGTTGATCCAACTCCGGTATATCTTTTTTGGTTTCTCATTGATCGAGAGCAGCACATTCGTTATTATCAATTAGAAAAACTTCCTCCTAAAATTCTTGGTTGTTGTTTGGTATGAACGCATGAGTAATCCAACACCAATCCCAATCCCTACGCACATACCAAGGCCAATCCCGACACCAACTCTAACACCAGCATTGAACCATGTGAGTTGTCCGTCCTCGCCAAGATACATTTCTTGAGAGTAGAAACCATTCGCCATCTTCCCATCAAGATCATAATCATAAACTTCTGACCCGGGAGAACCTGTTATCTGCAAGATATCATCAATGTAAAAACAATCAGCATTTAAGAAATCACAAGACTCAGATACGATAGTGAAATTAGACCGGTAGCGAAGTTAGACAAGTAACTACCGATATATAGACTGACTATGAATAAACATTGCACTAAGCAATGACTTTGACATGCGAGTTAAAATAGTTGCAATTAAACGTGTCAATGTGTGTGTGATAACGATGCAATGTTAAAATTCAGCATATCATTTCTAAGCAATGACTATGACATGCTGAGGATCCTAATCTTCCATATGTTACACATAACACAGATTTTACCAAAGTTATCAATCACAGATCACAGAATATAGTTGTTTGATCAAATTTCGCTGCAGTGTAATTGCGCTGCTATTTGACATACAACACTTTAGATTAAATGTATGTTTGGTTTAACTTTTGGAAGAGCCAAAAGCAATTTTGGAAGTATAGAATTGAGTTTGGAATGATTTTGAGGTGTTTGGTTCTTCTAAAGTAGAATTGATTCTGCCCCACAATTGATTCTACTTAAGTTAGAATTTGTAGCTTTTGAGTTTAAACGTGATTTTGACATTGAAGATTACTGTTGAACTCACTTTTACATAAATTTATCCAAACATAACTCACTCTACCTTCAATTCACTTAAGTATCAATTCTAAACAATTGATTCAGAATCAATTCTAAACAATTGATTCAGAATCAATTCTTTTCATTGCAGAATCAATCACACGCTAAATTGTGTATCGCATAGCAATAGATATTTGTTAAAATTCTGCTACCTTATAGAGTCATTATTTCAACCAAAAGTGATTTTTGATCCTAAAAGAACATTAGACCAAAAGTGACAATATCACAATCACAATCCTATACAATTGGATAAACTTCAAGCTTTTTTTTACAATGCCAATGCATAACCATCAAACTCAACAAATAAACCAAACCAACTTATTCAAATTGAAAAACTCATACTAAATGAATAAAAAGCTTCTCAGAAAAAGTAAACAAAAATACCTGCAATTTCGGGTGTGGAATTAATACATTCATACTCTTAGCATGATCCTTCTGTATAACATTCATTTCCTCATCTTCTGGAATAGCATCCAAAATTGCATGCCTAGGAACTCTCCTCCTAGGACTCATCAAAATCGTCTTACTCAAAATCACAGGCACACCAGAACAACAGCCCGCAACATAAACTTCAACCGACGGAGCCGAAACTCCGAGCTTCGGCCGAAAAAACGCCGACGAACCCGACCCAATAGACCCCGCCGCCACATGGCAATCCATTTCCCAACCCGACCCATTCCCCCAATCAGTATCCAACCGTTCCAATGACCCACAAAGAAACAACACATCCTTTTCATACACCTCAAATTCAGCACCACCGGTGATTCTCACATTATCCGTGCTGACGTAGGTAACCTCCGCAGATTCCTTGTCGACACGGTCACGGCGGAGAGGAAGCGGCGGGGCGGAATCGATTGCAGGGATTGATGTGCCGTTGATTACAAGAGAGAAACCGGTTTCGCGCTTTGGGTGACATAGGGTTAAACATTCGGGAGCGCTGTTGATAACACAAGGTGAAATTCGAACGTAAAAGAGACGAACTTCGAGCCACGATCTGTGACTCTTTATCGGTGAAAAGCTTAACGAGTTTTCGCTTTTCGCAATCGCTTCGGTGTTTTGATCCATATAACAGAGACTTCAAATTTCGAATTTCGATGCCTTTTTGGGATTTTGTTGAAATTGGGAACGACACAGATAGGAATAAAAGTGAAAATTGAAGGAAAAAAAAAAGAAGGTTTTGAACCGTTTAACAAAAAAGGGAATGAAATAGGGTTTTGGGATGGCAAAGTTAAAAATAGGAAATGAAGAATTCTATTGTTGGAAGAGTCAAGTCAAAAAGGTGAGATGGAGAAGAAAGGTTGAAGGACAGAAGGGTGGTCTGTCTTTCTTCCGGAGTTGATGCACTCTATTTGGAATGGGAATAAACGACACTAGCTACTATCTTTTTTTGGTACAAACACTAGATCATGTCTAAGCTATGCTCATTTTTAAAATAGTACATTTGACTTTGAGTACATTTTTAAAATAAAGAAGAACACTAGGTTTACATAATCGACTAAACTCCAAGATTGATCTACTATTTTAGAATTTCATCAAGACTTTGAGGTTACAATATTATTCAATTTTTTTCAATTCCTTTCAATTGTATTTTATGTGCCTTGTTTTCTTAATTCTAGTTTCATAGAATAAGATTGATTAAATTTGATCGATGCATATTTCTTAAATTCGCGTATTAACTTAACTTATTTGTTAACTTCGTGTGACCTTCAACCATCTTACTTAATGCGGTAAATAGGAATATAATTCACATGATAATGATCACGCTCGTCTAATCAAGAATATAATCAAATAAGGATTTAATCCGCACAGGGAATTGGTTATATAATAACTTGATCTGACCTGATCAGAAGGGGATCACGGGCTGGCCACACTGTGTTGGTCTTCTACCTGTTCACTGGTGATGAGGAGGAGAAGGGGGTGTACCTGCAAGACACTCCGATGCCAAAGTAAGGAATTGGGCAGAGTGAGGACAAAGTACAGAAAGTGGGTAAGAAGTGAATTACCCGACTCTCTTGTGGGAAAAGGTATTTATAGAGAGACCCCAGCGCTGGGCCAACGGTCACTTGCATTGGGCTAGATTGTCAGGCCCAACCCAGGTGACTGCTAGGGCTTACGTGGCGTAGTGAAGACCAGGACGTGGTCTTCGCCCTAGTCCAACTGTCCCGTGATCTCTGGAAAGTGGGTTTGACCTGCTCTTTCGGAGGTGGGCAGTTGTTCGGTGACGTGTCCCCGCGGAGGGGAGCACATGGAGAACGTGCGAATGGCACGTTGATCTCCCCGTTGAGGGGAGCTCGTGAGGTTCTCCGAAGGTGTGTTGTTCTCCCTGCGGAGGGGAGCACACGTGGACGTGGGAGAGCCATGGGCTCTTGTTCGGTGGCATGGGGAATACCGCCCGCAGAGGCTGTTTTGTCCGGCTAGGGGGAGCGCCGAGGACGCTTAGAAGCGCGTCGTCCTGCTTGACAGGGAATGTATCCGGCCCGTCCGGTGGGGGGTGCGTGCCCGGTCAAGCTGCCTCACTTATTGGGCCTTGTGCGTTATTGGACTGGGTCGCGAGGCCGGGCCCAGGCCGTAACAGGAGCCCCCCAAGTCGAAGCTCTGTGGTGAAAGAGCGAGGACTTAAGGTCGCTGCTTCGGGAAAAGGGATAACGAGGCGGGTGGCTCGCCGGTTTTGTGTCCGGCGGGACGCGTGCGCGCGCGAAGGTCTTCTTGTCGCTGGGTGAGCGGGGCAAAGGTATATGAAGGGACGCGACCGTCAAGTTACCGCCATGCGTCACGCGCTGAGTGGGCGCGAGGGCGGCTACCCTAGGGCACTCAAAGGCCTAGTGTCGCTTCGAGTTCTGCGCCGGGTTATAAATATGGGAGTCCCCGAGCATTTTTTACTTTTCACCTTTGTTTTTCACCTGGGAAGTTCTGTGATTCCTCCCCGTCCGCCGTTGTTGTGAATCGCCGCCGCGCCGTTAGTTTTGCACCCCGTTCGTCGCCGTCACAAAGTGAGTTTCCTTCTTCTCTTCTTTTATTTCCGCCGTTTGATTTGGGTCCATGGTCGGGGCGCGATGAAGGCCCCGAGGAGAGACGCGAGTTTCCGCCGTGTCTGGTGGTTTTTAAGGTTTGTTTAAATGAATGCCCCCGGGAGGGTCGGTTGTTCCGATGAATGCCCCGGGGACGGGTGCCTTCTCCGATGAGTACCCCGGGGAGGGGCGATAAGTTAGCTTTGAATGCCCCATGGAGAAGCGGCGAAGAATGTCCCTCGGGGGCCGCCCGCGTGCTCGTCTTTTGCTCGCTCACCCGCCATCGTCGCCCTTTCACTTGACCTGCGGTGGAAGGGTGGATTTGATCCTGGTTATCGAATTCACAGTTATCCTCTGCTTTTCAGGTGTACATGTCGGCCTTGATACCGGGGACGATGGTCGAAGACAGTGACCCCGAGATCCCAGATTTTGACGAGCGGGTCCTCCCCGTCGAGGAGTGGGTGGCCGAAGAGCCCCTGTCCACCCCTTCTTGCTTCGCGCTCGATGCGTCTGACACCTATGCTACCGTGGAGGATCGGGTGGAAGGGGAGCCGCAACACTGGCAGGTGTATCGTCCCAAGGAGCATTATCACATCTGCTCGAGCTATGGGGGGCAGATGTTTCCTATGCACGAATTCTACTTTAAAGAGGCTCGGCTTAGACTGCTGTTCTCCGCCTTCCACTTGGGTCTTTTTAATTGGTTACGTTTGGCCCCGTCTCAGCTGCATCCCAACGCCTTGGCCTTTATCCGTGCGTTCGAAGTGGTGTGCCACTTTCTCGAGGTCGAAGCCACGGTGCCCTTGTTTTTTCGCATCTTCCACCTGCAACGTCAATCGGTGAATGGCCGCCAGGGTTGGGTCTCGTTTAAGCAGTCGACCAAGCTCTTTAAGACGTACAGCGACTCTGTCCGAGACTTCAAGGGTCGGTTCTTCCTTGTGCGACCGATCACCCGGGAAGGATCAGGCTCTCTTTTTATTGAGGGGGAGCGAGTAGTAGACAACCAGCGGTTCATCGCGTGGCTCCCCAAGGTGCATTTACTGTGGACCCCGGAGCATTTCAACCGCGGTACCGACCGGTATATAGTGCGGGATAGGACTCTCGACGAGAGAGACATGGCCGCTTATATGAAAATAATGGCGTTTGTGCGGGACCTTCCTCCGTCGAAATTGGTGACGCCTGACGGTCGGTATATCCTTGACGCGCAGGGGAATGTGCGAAAGAAGAAAATGCTGATTAATACGAAGACCCTGCTCGGTTGCGCCTCGGGGGCGGACGCTCTGGATTACCTAGGTAGGGATGTTTCGTCTTTCTCGTGATCGTATGTTTTGTACATTGCTGACTCTTTTTTGTTTTTTGCAGCGAACATGTCTTCCGTCAAAGAGCGGATGAAGAAGCTGCGTGCCTCGAGGGCTGCCGCGGTCCCGAAGACACAGGTGGGCCAATTGGTCGGGCAGGAAGCCGTGGCCCAGGGCGGCCAGAGTTCGCCTTCTTCTCCCCAGGAGAGCCAGTCTCCTTCGTCTCAGGGAGCTGCAAAGAGGCCAAGGTCCGAGGAGCCCAGTGGCCTGATTGATCTGACGACTGGTTCATCCGAGGAGGGCTACGTCGTCCCGCCGTGCCATCAACATCCAGGTTATTTTCACGGGGCCCGGTCTCCTACTGTCTCTGTTGGCGAAGTGAAGGTTGTCCGTGATGCCGATCGAGAGTCTCGCCGACGCATCTTGGCGGAGGATTTGGCCGCGATGGTGCGGACTTTTACCACGACTCTGGTCCTGAACGAGGAGGGTTACTTTGCTGCTGAGCTGGCCAAATTGCGGGGGGACCTCACCTTCATGCAGTCGCGCTTGGACAAACTCACCGAGGAGCTGGAGAAGAGTCGGAAAGATGCTTCCGGAGGGCTTCCCCTGAGCGAATCTCCTCGACGAGATCGAGCTCCTTTCGTAAGGCGCCGTCGTTGTCGTCGGAGTCGAGGGGAGCTTCAGTCCGTCTGGATGGCTCGCGTATCTCGACCGGGATCACTGCCTCAGTTCCGTATGTAAGGCGGAATAAGGTTTCCCCCGTGGTTGTGTGGGGCGTAGTGCGGTATGCCCAGAGGACGCTGTGGAGCTCCTCGACCCATGCACGCTTTGCGTCGCCCAGTCGTCGTTTTAGGCCCTTGAGTAGGACCCTGTTCGCGGATTCTGCTTGGCCGTTTGTCTGGGGATTCTCGACCGAGGTGAAATGGTGTTTGGTTCCAAGCTTGGTGACGAAGTCGCAGAAGTTTTTGTCCGTGAACTGTGTGCCGTTGTCGGTGACGATGGCGAGCGGGACTCCGAATCTTGCGAGGATGTTTCGTTTATAAAATCGGAGTATGTTGTGGGCTGTGATTTTGGCTAGGGCTTCGGCTTCGATCTATTTGGTGAAGTAGTCTACGCCCACAATGAGGTACTTGTTCTGATAGGACCCCAGAGTGAAGGGCCTGAGGATGTCCAACCCCCACCAGGCGAATGGCCACGGGGATGAGAGGGATTTGAGTTCGGTTGGTGGAGCGAGGTGCATGTCCCCGTGTCTTTGGCATTTGTCACATCGTTTGACGTGTTCCTTCGCGTCCGTTTGCATCGAGGGCCAGTAGTAGCCTGCTTGTAGAGCCTTTCTTGCCAGGGAACGTCCTCCGAGGTGCTGCGTGTTGATGCCCTCGTGGATTTCCTCTAGGACGGCTGCACTCTGGGAGTTGTCGATGCATTTGAGGAGTGGGATCGCGAAGCCTCGACGATATAGTTTGCCTTCGAGGAGGACGTACGAGCAGGCTCGTCGCTTGGTCGCGCTTGCCTCTTTAGAGTCGGCTGGTAGGCGGCCGATGCTGAGGTAGGTGTGTAGTGGTGTCATCCAACAGTCGGTATCTCCTATGGCGTTGATGTCGGGCGGGGCGGTGGTCGCTTTAGTGCTCGGTTGCGATAAGACTTCTTGGATGACCGACTTGTGGCCTCCTCGCTTTTTGGTGCTCGCCAACTTTGAGAGGATATCGGCGCGGGTGTTCTGCTTGCGCGGGACGTGCTGAACCTCAGCGGAGTCGAAACTTTG